CAGCAAGTATACTTCTAGATTCAGGCCCAAATGACATTATCATACATGTGTATAATGAGAACAGATGAATATGTACAGCAACATAAGATTACTATAAAAGTAGAAGCAAGGTAAATGTCCAACAGGAGCATGGGTAAACAAATAGTGATTTCTTTCTATAATTGGTATAAGGTTTTAAAATATACAGAACAATACTATATATTTTTATAGATAAATATTAAAATATTGAAATATTGCATTAAGTACATAAAATAAGATTTTTTAAATATCCTTACTCTTTTTAAAAGTAATTCATGAAAAGTCCATATTCACAAATTTTTCAGGAGTATAATCTGGAATATGGACTATTAGAGACTATTGTGTTAGTTTTTAGTTTTTTGTTTTTGTTTTTTTTTGAGTTGGAGTTGCAGTGGCACACTCATGGCAACCACAGCATCAACCTGCAAGGCTCAGGTGATCCTTCTGCCTCGGCCTTCCAAGTAGCTGGAACTACAGGCATGCGCCATGACACCCAGCTAATTTTTTGATTTATTGTAGAGATGAGGTATCGCCAAGTTGCCCAGGCTGGTCTTGAGCCCATGGGTTCAGGCTTTCCTCTCACCCTGGCCTCCCAAAGTGGTGGGATTATAGGCGTGAGCCACTGCACCCAACTGTGTTACTTTTAATAAAATTTAACTAATTTTTGAAAGTTATACACTGTTAACATGGAAATTGGATCAAATTTTAAAATTTAAATGTTACACTAAATGAATAAATGGATGATTTTGTTTAAGAAATTTAAATTTTAAAATGTTAAAGGCTACCATAACAGTACTCAAAATGTAAACTAGTTAATGGGTGATAGTCAAGAAAAATATCCCCTTATCAAACAAAAGAAAGCATCAGTATTTAAGAGCATACAAGTAGTGTTGTAGTCCAGGAGTCCCCAACCCCCAGGCCCCAGATGGTACTGCTCTGTGGTGAGCAGCAGTGAGGGTTAGGTCAGCTCCAGTATTAGATTCTTATAGAAGCACAAACCCTATTGGGAACTGCACCTGCGAGGGATTTAGGTTGTGCCCTCCTTATGAGAATCTAATGTCTGAAGATCCTCCCCTATTCACCATCTGTGAAAAAATTGTCTTCCACAAAACCGGCTCCTGATGCCAAAAAGGTTGGGGACCACGGTTGTAGTCCGTTTTATCATTGACTGTTCCATAATGATAGTGGCTTTGATATGACTTTCTAGGGATTTCATTATTTCTCTTGTGGTTTTCAGGGGCTCCAGTAAATAGCATCACTTTTCCCCACTGAAGTTTTTCGTTTATTTTTTGAGACAAAATCTCACTGTGTCACCCAGGCTAGAGTGTGGTGGTGCGATCATAGCTCACTGCAGCCGCAAATTTCTGGACTGCCTCATCAGCCTCCTGAGTAGCTAGGACTACAGGCACCAACCACACCCAGTTGTGTTGTTTTTTTTTTGGCGGGGGGGAGACAGGTAGAGACAGGGGTCTTGCTATGTTGCCCAGACTAGTCTTGAACACCTGGCCTCAAGCAGCTCTCCCCTCTTGGCCTCCCAAAGTGCTGGGATTACAGGCAGGAGCCACAACTCCTAACCACCACCGGAGTTCTGAACCAACTGAGAAAGTGTCAACATGTAGAGACTCAGAATAGCCCCCTTATAGTGCAGGCCAAGATAGAGCAGCTTAGTGAGACAGTCTAATTAATTAGTCTTTCCAACTTCCCTACCCACCTATTCCACCTCTCATCTTAAGTTAGAGACCATCCCACTCCAAGGAAAGTTTGCATCTGCAGAGCAGACCAACCTTCTCAGGTTATTGTTTCCTACTTACTGGTCCAGTGAAAGAGGGGAGGAAAGAGTCCAGGCTGGTCGTGTAATCTCAGCACTTTGGGAGGCCGAGGCAGGAGAGTTGCTTGAGTCCAGGAATTTTAGACCAGCCTGGGCAACATAGTAAGACCTCATCTTTACCAAAAAATGCAAAAATTAGCCAGGTGTAGTAGTCTTGTGCCTATACCCAGCTACTCGTAAGGCTGTGGTGGCAGTATCGCCTGAGCCCAGGAGGCTGAGGCTGTGGTGAGCCGAGTTCACCCCACTGCACTTCAGCTTGGGTTACAGAGTGAAACCTTGTCTCACACACACAAAAAAAGAGTTCAAACGCCCATCATCCAGGTAACTCTGCCTCCCTCGGTAGGATATGGGGGAAGGGTAAGAGGCCTCTTGTTTAGTAAGAGATACTATCTCATGCAAGCTGAAGTGAGAGAAGTTTGTGCCCTTCCCCCGCCATTTCAATGTGTCAGATTCATATTATGAATATTTTCTGAAAATTAATTGAATTAAACTGTCAACTTCAATATTTAGCTATACTTACAATAGAAAAGATTGGCATAATCTTATCCTATGATTTATCTTTAACTCTTGATTTTTGTAAAGTTATGTCTTTGAAGAGCATTTACTATATAGCCTTGTAGAATGCCTTTTGCTTTTGATTTTGTTTTATTTGTTTGTTTTTTTACTTGAGACAGGGTCTTGCTCTGTCACCCAGGCTGGAATGAAAGGGCATGATCATAGCTCACTTCAGCCTCAACCTCCTGAGCTCAAGCCTTTCTCCTGTCTCAGCCTCCCAAGTAGCTGGGACTACAGGTGTGTGCCACCACACCTGGCTATTTTTATTATTATTATTTGTTAGAGATAGGATCTCACTATGTTGCCTAGGCAAGTCTTGAACTCTTGACCTCAAGCGCTCCTCCCACCTCGGCCTCCCAAAATATTAGAATTACAGACATGAGCCACCATACTTGGCCTATCTTTGGATTCAGTGAAAAGCAGAGAATAATAATTCAGACGTCCTGATTGCTTTGCTGATACTTAGTTCTACTAATTCATAGTTTTACAAGCCTAGTTACTTTCTTGTTACCTACCATGAGCAAGAATTATACTGGGTAAGATTTAGCATATAACCCTGCTATTGGAAGACCCTGCAGTCTAATGGAGGAGTCTAATATTTTGTGTTAGTCTAGTAATTTGCTATTATAGACCATTAGTGGAATGTTTTGGTTATGTAAATAATGGAGAAATTAATGAGAACTGATGATATAGTTAAGAAAACATAGTGCTTCTATTTTAAAATATGTACATGAAGATTTTGTAAAGTTTTGTAATGGAAATCCTGTTTCATTACTAATTTTCTACCATTCTCATGGAAGTGGAGAATTGGTCATTTCAAATAAACTAAAGTTCCTTGGTCAAAATTTAACTCTTTGAGCTGTAGTTTTTAACTATTTGCTCTTAGTTTTATGACATCAAGGTATATGACTGGGGACAAATATGCAACATGACATTTTTGTTTCATTACAGCCTTTAAAGGGTGGAGGTGTCACATTGCTACCTCAGAGATAACAGCTAGAAAGTGAACCACTCATTAAAGTTTCAGTGGCAATTCATAGAGCCAAGCACAGGGGTTCACACCTGTAATCCTAGCACTTTGGGAAGATCTTGTGTCTACAAAAAATAAAAAATTAGACAGGCATGATGACTTGCACCTGTAAGTCCCAGCTACTTGAGAGGCTGAGGCAGGAGAGTCATTTGAGCCCAAGAGTTTGAGGGTGCAGTGAGCTGTGATTGTTCCACTGCACTCCAGCCTGAATGACAAAATGAGATCCTGTCTCTAAAAGAAATAAATGAAAAGGTAATCTTTATTCGCTCACTAGAATTTTGTATTTTAATTGTAGAGTGTTACATGAACAACTATAGCCCAAAAAGAGGAAGAGGGGTGTGTGTGTGTGTAAGCCACCCCATGGAGTAAGAAGAACACACTTTACAGTCAGACCAACCTGGGTTTAAATCCTTGCCCTGAATAACAAATTCATGAATCCCTCTGTTATTTTATAGATTAATGCTTAATGTCTAAGTCTACAATGTAAAGGAAACCTTTAAACAGAATGGACCAATTGTGTTTTAGGAAATACCTTCGTACCAGTTAGCAAACTGCCTATAAATTTTGAATAAGGAGGATGCTAATGGTGCTACTGTTGATAACTACAGTTCACGTCTTCCTGTCTGAAAATGTAGACATTGTTTTCAAGGTGAAATCTTGAAACAACTTAAGTGCACAACAGTGGGACAGTGTGTCAGTAGCTCTACTGATTCATAGTTTTGCAAACCTGGTCTCTGTCTTGACACCTACCATGAGCAAGAATTGTACTGAGTAAGATTAGTATATGAACTTTTTTTTTTGAGTTGGAGTCTCACTCTGTCGTTCAGACTGGAGTGCAGTGGCCACTTCCGGCCACCGCAACCTTGCCTTCTGGGCTTTGGCGATCCTTCTGCCTCAGTCCTCCAAGTAGCTGGAACTACAGGCATGCACTACCACGCCCGGCTAATTTTTGATTTATTGTAGAGATGAGGTCTCGCCAAGTTGCCCAGGCAGGTCTCGAACCCACAGGCTCAGACAATCCACTCACCTCGGTCTCCCAAAGTGCTGGGATTACAGGCTGAGCCACCGAGCCCGGCCTTATATTAACTTCTTATTGGAAGGGTTATATACATTAGTAGAATGTCTTCATGGACATTTTTGTCTTACATTTAAACTTAGGTTTCTAGAAATGTGTAGGAACTGAAAAGAAACCCAATTAATCACATTTGTTGCTAGAGTAATAGAATTATAAGTGATTCTTTTATTTTTCCTCTCTGTCAGTACCATGAGATTGCTTTTATAATGAAGAAGATATGAAGACAGTTATGCCTCATGGAGCAAAGAGTTTCTTCTCTTTATAGACAAAACATAAACCAGGTTACTTCATGCTTGGTTCCATTATTAAGACAACCAAAGAAAAGACCATTAGCCTTAGTTCTTTTAACTATGTAGGCATCAGCCATTTTATCTATTATGTTTTTCTGCCAGTTGTCATAATTCATTGTACCATGTTGGCTGTGGATAATAGAAATAGACAAATTCAAATGTAAGTACCTTTAAAAGCAATTTTTTTGTGTGTTAATGTTACAGATTTATTTGAGGTTCCTAGATTATCAAATGGAGCACTCAAATGAATGCAAGAGAAACTTCGTTGCTGTCTATGATGGAAGCAGTTCTATTGAAAATCTGAAGGCCAAGTTCTGCAGCACTGTGGCTAATGATGTAATGCTTAAAACAGGAGTTGGAGTGATACGAATGTGGGCAGATGAAGGTAGTCGGCTTAGCCGATTTAGAATGCTCTTTACTTCCTTTGTGGAGCGTAAGTAAATAATTCCTATAGTATTGAGATATTTGACATAATTTTTACTCATTTACAGTATACTTATTGAGCATTTACTTTTATTTTTTTATTTTAAAATTTATATTATTCATTCATTTATTTATTAGAGATGGGATTTCGCTGTGTCGTTGAGGCTGGCCTTGAGCTGTTGGGCTCAAGCAGTCCTCAGCCTCAACCTCCCAAGAAGCTGGTATGATGGGCACATGGCACCACACCAGGCAGAATGTGCTTTTAACAAAAACTGTGCAAGTCACAGAGATAACGTAGAAACAGCTAAGTGTTGGTCCCTGTCCTCAAGGGATTGACTGTTAGGGATGAAAAAACATGTTAACATGTTTTACCTCATTATAAAGGTGTAAACAAATAATAGAGATTGTAGAAAGTGAAGACTTAGACTTTCTCTCAAGATTTTCTAACTTATCAATAATATTAATTCAGTTTGGTGAATAATTATGAATCTACCAAACCATGGTCATCAAAGACTTAGATATGCTACAGATGATTTCATTTTTCTTTTTTTTTGAGTTGGAGTCTCACTCTGTCACCCAGGCTGGAGTGCAGTGGCACACTCACAACCACCACAGCCTCAGCCTGCTGGGCTCAGGCGATCCTTCTGCCTCAGCCTTCCAATTAGCTGGAACTACAGGTGCGTGCTACCACTCCCAGCTAATTTTTTTTATTTATTGTAAAGACGAAGTCTCGCCATGTTGCCCAGGCTGGTCTCAAACCCTTGGGCTCAGGCAGTCCTCTTGCCTCGGCCTCCTAAAGTGCTAGGATTACAGGCTAGAACCACCACACGTGGCCCGATGATTTCTTTTTTTAAAAAACTTTTTGTTTCTAAATAACTTTAAACTTTCAGAAAGTTGTAAACATGATGGAGTTGCCTTGTGCCCTTTCCTTAGATTGCCCTGTTGTCAACATCTTACAAAGCCATGGTGGAACTGAAAATTAGCACTGGTATAATAAAGTCATCTGTAGACCTTATTTGTATGTCTCTAGTTTTGCCATCAACATCTTACAAAGCCATAGTGGACTGAAAATTAACACTGGTATAATATAACTAAGTCATCTAGAGATCTTAACTTGCATGTCTCTAGTTTTGCCATTAACGTCCTTTTATGACACAGCTTCCCACATTACATTTAGTAGTGTTTTTCCTTTCTAATTAGTAAATCTCTTTAATACTATGCAAATATCCTTTCGCCTACTAATTTTAGCATCCAATGATGGTTTCTGCCTGTAACAGTTATTACTGTAGTGTTTGCCTAATAGTGATTTTCTGTTACCATCATGACATCTACATATATTAATTAGAAATATACTGAGAGAAAGAATTATTCCTTTTTCCTCATTTATTCAGTTAACTATTTGTATCAGTATGGAATCATGGATATTTATTTCATTCTATGTTACTATAATGCTAGCATTATTCTATAACACTAGCATTATCTTGTTGCCCAAAGCCCGAACTTTGACACATGGGGAGTGCCGTCAGTCTGCCTTTTGTGTCTCTTGAAGTTCACACTGTTTTCCTTTCTGGTACCAATAGGTGAACCAAGCTAAACCTGTGGTTTTCTACCCAGCCCTAGAGCCAATCGTATTTCCAAGGAGCCCATTCTTTATTTTATAGTGAAAAGCCTGGTGCGAAGTATACAAAATACATTTATTTGTTCAGTTCCAATATATACATAAAGCAGTTTTACAAATGCTAACTCATATCCCTCGAAGAAGTTTCCTAACACAGCACTTTATTTGTTTACATTTCTTTTTTACTTTATCCTTACTGTCAGAATACTATTTTTGTTACTGAGGTCAGTTGTTTTCCTCTCTCCTTTCTTTGTGGTCACATTATTCATTTGTGATCCACTTGACCATTTATATTTTGTTTTGTGTTCCTCCCACTTCATGGTTACTGTAAATTGTTTTTATATGGGCATTCTTGGCACAGGACTGCTGCTCCGAGAGAACTACACCTAAGAGATACACTTGGAAGATGTTGCTGCCCTCTCCTTTCCGCCACTCGTCCCACTCCCTCCTTTTCTGCATTCCATATCTACCCACTCTCTGTGTTTCTTTTTCCACAGATGAATAGATAACATGTGTATTTTCTTATATGCCCTTTTTCTTTTTTAAATTATTTTATTTTTAAAATGTGGGGTACAGATGAGGGTTAGGTACATATGTTGGAGGCATATCCTCAGGGTAGATTCCTAGAAGTGAGATTGTTTGTTCAAACAATATGCCATATGTAGTTTAATTAGGTATTGCCAAATACCCTTCCAGAAAGATTGTGGGTTTGTTTTTTATGTAAAATTTTTAAATTGTGGTAAAATATCATAATACAAGATTTACCCTCAAGCATCTTTTATTGTACAAATTAGGTACAGTCACATTATTATACAGCCATCACCACTGTTCATTTCCAGAGCATTTTGATCATCCCAAACTGAAACTCTGTGCCCAGTAAACAATAACTCCTGGTAACCTCCATTCTACTTTCTGTCTCTATGAATTTCCCTGTTCTGGGTAACTCATGTAAGTTGCATCATGCAATATCTCCTTTTGTGACTTACTTATTTCACTTAGCATAATGTTTTCAAGGTTCATCCGTGTTGTAGAATATATCAGAATTTCATTCTTTTTTAAGGCTGAATAATATTTCATTGTATGTATTTGCCACATGTTGATTATACATTAATTCATCTGTTGATGGACACTTGGGTCATTTCTACCTTTTGACTATTATTAATAATGTTGCTATGAAAATTGGTATACAAGTATCTGTTTGAATTCCTACTTTCAATTCTTTTAAATATATAACTAGAAGGAAAATTACTGGATCTTATGGCAAACCTATGTTCAGATTTTTGAGGAACCCACAAACTTTTTCCCACAGTGGCTGTACCATTTTAGATACCCACCAGCTGTGGACAAGGGTTTCAGTTTCTCCACATCCTCACCAATTCTTGTGATTTTTTGTGTTTTTTAATAACCATCCTAATGTGTGCAGAGTGGTAGCTTGTGGTTTTGATTCACCTAAGGATTAGCAATGTTGAGTATCTTTTAATGGGCTTCTTGGCTTAGTATACCTTTCTTGAAGAAATGTCTATTCAAGTCCTTTGTGCATTTTTGAATTGGATTTTTCAAGTTACAGAAATTCTTAATAGATTCTGTATCTTAATCCCTTATCAGATATATGATTAACAAATATTTTTCCAATTCTGTGTGTGTTCTTTTCATTCCCTTGATGGTGTCCTTTGAGATGCAAAGTTTTTTATTTTGATGAAACTCAATTTATCTATTTTTTCTTTCGTTGTCTTTGCTTTTGTTGTGATATCCAATAAATCACTGTCAAAGCCAGTGGCATGAAACTTTTCCAATATATTTTCTTCTAAGAGTTTTATGGTTTTAGCTTTTGAACTTAGGACTTTGATCCATTTGCATATGGTCTAATTTTTTTAATCTAATTTTTGCATATGGTGTAAGTTAAGGGTCTAACTTAATTTTTTCATGTGAATGTCCAGTTTTCCCATTGTTAAAGACTGCCCACTGATGGTCTTAGTACCCTTCTCAAAAATCATTTGGAGCCTGCCACAGTGATGCATACCTGCAGTCCCAGCTATTTGGAAAACTGAGGCATGAGAATCACTCCAGGCCAGTAGTTCAAGGCTGTAGTGTGCTATGAGGATGCCTGAAATAGCCACTGCACTCCAGCCTGGGCAACATAGTAAGACTGTAAAAAAACAAAAGACCAAACAAACAAAAATCAGTAGGCCATTTTTGCGAAGATTTGCTTCTGTGTTCTCTGTTCTGTTGGCGTATAAGTCTGTCCTTGCCAGTAAGTTTTGAAATTAAGAATTGTGAGTCCTACAGCTCTTCTCTTCTAAGATCGATTTGGCTATTCAGGGTCCATTGAGATTTCCTGAATTTTAGAATAGGTTTTTCTATTTCTGCAAAAAAAAAAAAAAGTATTGACATTTTGATAGAGATTAGTTTAAATCTGTGGATCACTTTGAGTAACATTACCATCTTAACTGTATTAAGTCTCCCAACCCATGATCACAGGGTGTCTTTCCATTCATTTTTCATCTTTAATTGCATTCAGCAATGTTTTATAGACTTCAGTGTACAAGTCTGGATAAATTAACGCCTAAGAATTGTTTTCTTTTTGATGCTTTTGTAAATGGAATTATTTTCTTAATTTTCTTCTCTAATTGTTCACTGTTAGTATATAGAAATGCAACTGATTTTTTGTGTGTTTGTTTTATACCCTTCAGCTTTACTAAATTAGTTTATAAGCTCTAACAGATATGTATATGTGTGTGTGTGATCTTTAGGGTTTTCTACATATAAGATCATGTCATCTGTGAACAGAAAATTTTATATTTTCCTTTCCAATTTCAACTTTCAAAAAATACCTTTAATTTCCTTTTCTTGCCTAATTACTGTAACTAGAACTTCCAATATATGTTGAATAGAGGTGAAACTGGACATCCCTGTCTTGTTTCTGACCTCAGTTCTTCGCTATTGAGTTTCATGTTAGCTGTGGTTTTTCATATATGACCTTTATCGAGTAAGGAAGTTTTCTTCTATTACTAATTTGAGTGTTTTTTAAATCATGAAAGGATGTTAAATTTTATCAAATGCGTTTTCTTATTCTTTTGAGATGATCATGTGGTCTGTTTTCCTTCTTTCTGTTAATGTAATGTATTAAATTGATGGTTTTTCTTATGATAAACCATCTTTGCATTCTAGAAATAGAATTCTAGAAAAGAACCACTTAGTCTTGGTTCTTTTTATATATGGCTGAATTCTGCAGTAGTATTTTGTTAAAGATTTTTCTATCAGTATTCATAGGGGATATTGATCTGTAGTTGTGTATTTTTCTAGCTTAGTATCAGGGTAATGCTGGCCTCCGTAAATAAGTATGAAGTGTTTGTTCTTCAACTTTTTGGAAGAGCTTGAGGATTGGCATTAAT